GGGGGAAAAAGAACGGTAAAATAATGACCTAAAACGGCACAAAAATGGGACAAACACGTAGCCTCCCGGTTGTGGAATGGAGAGTGCCGAGGCTTACTGAAATGCCATCACAGAGTGCAAGCGTTTGGTAATCTAAAAGATTGGCGAGGTGATATGTCTTCCGAGACACTTGATATGATCAAGGATACTGGACTGTCACATCTGGCAGACTCCATGCACGTCCACTTGGACACTCCACTGCTTACTGCATTTGTGGAGCGATGGCAGCCAAATACTAACTTATATCACCTGCCTTTTGGTGAAATGAGCATTATGCTGCACGATGTCCAGGCCATTTTGGACATTCCTGTTGAGGGATCCATGGTCGTTGAGGAGCCGGATACAAAGGCCTGCCAGGCTTACTGCATGGATATACTTTCGGTCAGTAAGGCTGACGTCGTTGGGACGTTCTGGCAGCGCGGTTCTGTTGCAGAAGGCTTCGTTGTGGAGAAATTCAAGGGTACAGACTAGTTGGCGTTGGATGATGCTGGTGCCTGGATTTGGTTGCTGTTGTCTACCACCTTGTTCGGTGACAGAGTGGTAGTAGAGTGACTCCCAAGCTCCTAGCTGAGGTGCTTAACGGCGTGGATTCCATTGGGGTTACTCGTGGGGATCGGCTACGCTGGCATATTTGTACCGACAGTTAGGTATTGTAACCAGAGGGGACTCCAGACAACTTTCCGACTGCTTGACTCTTATGCAGTCTTGGATTTATGAGTATTTCCCCGATTTCTGACCCTAGGGGGACGTCTACCCATCGGTCCTCAAGAATCCGCACGATCTCAGATGTGGAGCCCACCGGTAGGTCAGAGGAAGGACGAGCGTCTCATAGCCATCAGTCGGAAACTTGACATACTCATTGCCTCCGATGTACAGAAAGTTATTTTATTTAAATTTAGTTACTCGTTATTTAAAATAATATAAATATTTTTATAAATGTTTTTATGCAATTGTGAACAGGTGCAATGGTTGCCATATGGCACCTCTATTCCACATGGGATAGAGCCGAGGACTCTTTATTGCGGGTTTATTCGGTACCGCGATATCGTCGAGCCATACTTTCCTGTGCGGTTTTTGCAGCAGTTGGGGTATGTCTAGACAGTCCCTCCCCCTATGTTCACGCCAATTAGTGTCTGTCGTCTTTGGGAGTCGAGGCTCTACAAGGTTGAGCATTCTGATGTCACTGCAGTATCTATGTGGAACCAGTTCCCGGTATCGCATACCGTTAACTCCAGTATGTATAATGTCAGCACAGATGATCGAGCAGAGGCGACCGCGGAGTACATGCAGTGGTACCATCGGGTTTCCCATCCTAAATATTTGGGCGAGAATCTGTCGGACCAGAACGAGATGTCACTGCAGTATCTATGTGGAACCAGTTCCCGGTATCGCATACCGTCAACTCCAGTATGTATAATGTCAGCACAGATGATCGAGCAGAGGCGACCGCGGAGTAGATGCAGTGGTACTGTCGGGTTTCCCATCCTAAATGTTTGGGCGAGAATCTGTCGGACCAGAACGAGGTCCCTACGCGTGCCAACAACGACTATGTAAGTCTAATGCTAAATTGTAGTT